GGACCATAGTGAATTGTAACAGGGTGTTTAAGCGAAACCGAATATAATAAACTACCATTCCTTACAATTTGGATTTGATAAATATAATATTTACATGCAATTCTTATATGAACCATAAGAAGATAAATTTACAATTGATTTGATTTCAATAAAAAGCACATTGTTGTTATCAAATTGCCAAAATTACTGTGCACACATTCGATATTGTGGGGAGCAAACCTCGATTGAAGGAATTTGTATGCCTCATTTTTGCCAAAACGTCATCAGGATTCAACTTCGATTAGGTGAAACTCAAGCAATGGTTGACGCTAGGACACACAAGAATAAAATAGTACCAAACTCGCGCATTGCCTCCAAACTATCCGTTCTCACGACAGTCGGGTCTAATTAATCGAAACGGACTCGATTCCGTTCCCCCGACAGTCGGGTCTACCTAATCGGAGCGGACCCGGATTTTTAAGTACTGTCAACTAAGCAGAATTATGCCGCTACAACAACAACAACCCGAAATTTTATACGGCCAAGGACTCAACCCGGCACCATGCCTCGAAATTACTTCAGGAATGTTATCTGCTGCTACAATAACAACAACAGCAGCAAAAACAACAACTGCCTCTGYACATTCGTTGAGTGGCAAACTCAGGACTAACGGTTTTCAGGAGCTCAACTAGTTAGCATTACTTCCCGCCCAGCTCCAATCCCAGTACGAGAAGCATCATCCAATTTCTTGTCCCTTGAACAGTATGTTCGGTGTGTTAGAGCGCGCTGCCTTGCGGTGAAAACCTTTTGCTATTAGGCGACTTAACAAGAGCCACAAAATTTCTAGCATTCTAGCTTGTCAAAAGATCCTAAAAGGATGGAGCTGACAGAACAGATAGACAATTAAACAGTCTGCATAATAAATGACTCGATAATGTCATCCAAAAAATACCTTTGTTGACACTAGCTACTACACAAGTTGTCACTGGCCACACAGAACACTGTCTCTTATACACATCTAGATGTGTATAAGAGACAGATACAACTCATTTATATTTCGCTCTCAATAGGATCAAGAGTTTGGCCACAACAACAGCAGCACTAGGGACGCGATGCCGGAAGCTGAAAAGTTAGGGGATAAGTTGTCAACCAAGCGGTACTCCATTTGTAAGCAGTTGTTAGTTGTACAAGAAACATTCTCAGAAATCAAAGCAAATTATTTCTCAGATACTTTTCTTTGTTTAGAATTTTTAAGAATTGTAAGAATTTTCTTCCAGACTCTTACTTCTTACAGTCTAAAATGTGCGATTAATGAACCATTCCATGATCTTAGATGTGTGCTAAGTGSGATCTGGTTGAGCTTTCCATTCCACGGGACAAAAAAATTCCTAGTTAGCAGAAAATGCGTTATTTATGTCTTTCTATGCGTAGTCCACCTAGTCCGCGAAAAGTTAGGTCTTCATTCGAATATTAAAATAGGTCTTTATTGCCACTAAATGATTGAAAAAACGTTCTTGCTACATCCGGGTTAATGAAGAAATTACAGTATACTACTATGAGCAAAAAATAGTAAAACTTTGTTCATAATTTTAAAATTCTTAATTTATGCTTCAAAATCTATGTCGTCTGCCTCAAAGTAGTCCCCCTTGAYCCTAATACACTTRTGCCAATGTTTTTTTCAATCCTCGAGCTCACCTTTGCCCCGACATTTGGCCGATTTATCGTTTGTTTGCGTGTCGTAAGCATGGTTACTAGTCCAGTCTTTATAGTAAGTTCACCTCGGAATTCGAGATACCCAGCTGTAAGTCTGTAAATATTGTATATTAGGGGTATCTAAATATTGTATGTAGGGTGTATCTACCATATGTAGGTTTTGAGACAACTTTTAGGGTATCAATATACAATATCTACAGACTTACAGCTGGGTATCTCGAATTCCGAGATTCTTACCTAATTTAAGCTTAAATGACTGGACTATACAAGACTCAACGNAAGAGCCACAAAATTTCTAGCATTCTAGCTTGTCAAAAGATCCTAAAAGGATGGAGCTGACAGAACAGATAGACAATTAAACAGTCTGCATAATATATGACTCGATAATGTCAACTCAAACAAAGTGTTTAACCATCTACCTATAACCGTCATGGTTCAGATGTTCCCGACTTTATTTCTGTGGAAAACCATCGTTAAACTTAAAAAAGCTGTATTCACAAAATATGCTTCACCATCCTGCCAATTCCACGGACGTAATCGTTGGCGAACAGCAGCCGTCTTAGCAAATGAAAGCAATGTTTAGGCCGACGACTGCTCGAAATGCCTGTTTATTTTTACCAACGAAGAAGTTTCAGACTGAAAACGGAAGCGTGGTTACTCGAACTTTGGATAACGGTCAATATAGGAAAGTCGTATCGTCCGATAGCTCTTTTTTTCTTGAAGTGAGAAGTGGTTTAGTATGGAACGAAGTTACTAGTTACCCCTATATATACGGATAGGACCAAAAAAGCGGAAGTAGGCGCGAAGGTACGAGTATACTTCAATGATTTATGATTTTGACATCTCTTTTTTTTTATCCGCCTACCAAACTCAGCCAGTATCTTCCAAACGGAGGTATTAGGTATAGAAAAGTTCTATAAAGTTATATTCAATAACAAATTGGTATAAGGAAAGCCACCACATACAGAGATGGAACACAATAATAAATAGATGGGTCTTATTAAATAGGTCCAGAAATAGTTTATACAGATCTACAGCCACTACAATGGGGCACTGGCTGTTTGAAGAGCATCGGCCAAAAATGGACCTGTCTTACAACAATAATTGCCGCAGCTGCAAGCTAAAGGGGAATTCCTTTACTCTTCTCCCCATTCTCTGTAAATGCCCAGCTCTATCACAAATCGACGGAAAATATAGAACACAAYGGATACCACCCCTTGAAGGGCTGTCCACAGAAATCATAATGTATATAAGTAGTTTCATTGAGAACTCCAAATGATTTGAGCGCGATGACGTCGACCAACGGGATAGCAAGGTTATAAGGTTCTACGATAGTGCACCAAAATGACGCACTTTGTCTACTTACCTACCCCAGCTGCAATACAACTCATTTATATTTCGCTCTCAATAGGATCAAGAGTTTGGCCACAACAACAGCAGCACTAGGGACGCGATGCCGGAAGCTGAAAAG